GGGCGAAGCCACAGCGGTGACTCAGGGACACTGGGGGGGGGGCTGTCTCTTTTGTTCCTGCCTTTCCTTACTTCGCACCCCACCCCAAACGGGGTTAGGAAACTTGGGTCTCTGTTTCACGCCCTGCTGCTTCGGAGGCTATTTCCCGACACAGACAAAACCGCTGGAATCCAGACTCCGCAGACGCCCTCGGGTGATTTTTGATTTCCAGACCATTTCGTTATTCCGCCACACCATCCCCAGGAGAGGGGTCGGAGGAGACAGCGGTCCTCTTGGCTCATCCCCGTGGATGCTGAATCAGTGAAAGGCGCTTGGAACGGCCTCTCTGGGAAGGAGGGAGGCAGCTGAGACAGAAAGAGGCTTTCGAGGAAACCGAGAAAACCACAGCCGGGTCCCTCCGCCCGCCCCTCCCTCCCAGCTTTGGCATCCCTTTGAAAGAGACATCATCCGGGGTGGGGGCTGCTTCCTGGCCCCGTTACCTGGCTCCAGCTCCGAGGCAAGCGCGTCGGTCTGCTAGCTTTCTGGGTTCGTTTCAGAGGTGGCCCAGGGGTCTGTCCCCCTCTCTTCCTCTCCGTTTGTCTCCTCCGTGCCTTTCTCTCGCATCCGCCTCTGTCCCCAGCGGTTCAGATGGGCCGAAGGAGAGCGTGGCGGCACGGGGGACCCCTCAGCCGCTGAGCTGCTGGCTTAAGAAAGAGAGCCATGCCTTCTGAGAACTTCTGAAGACTCGGTTAACACGCACCGTTCGTCCAGAACCTGCCTTCCTCTCTCTGCTTCTCCTGGAGAACGACACTCTTCCTTGCGCGAGGTGGACCGATCTCAAAACTACGATTCTCCTCCTTCCTCCCGCCCCCCGCAGCAACTCTGATAAAGCTGCTGAGTGGAGTCCTACATCGGGGTGGCTGTTTTCCAATCTGGGGGTGCCTCCTGGGTTTGCTCCCAAGCAAGGAGTTTCCTTCCCCGCGCTAGAAACGGTCTCTCGATCATCATGACTGCTTCTGCGGTGACAGTGGGGTCCATCTGATGGGGCCCTGCACCATCTGACTCTGGTTTCGGATTATAGTCTCAAGATGGCCTGGCCCAGGATCGACTTTCCTTCTGGAAACTAAGAGCCCCAGGCATGCTAAGGAAAGAATGGAAGTCCCCGAAACCACTTAGCTAAGTGCCATCTTGGAGGCGGGCAGCAGAGGGTTTGGGGGCCCCCGTGGAATCGCTGCCCTGGATCTCCCGGGGGCGGCCTGGACCCCTGTTCGCGGCATGACTGCTTGCCAATACCCCGTGGGACCGGGTTCCTTGGAGCGGGACCGGATGTATCAGCACAAAGTCTCCTTGGTGGTCCGCTACTTCATGATCCCGTGTAACATCTGCCTGATTCTCTTAGCCACCTCCACGCTGGGATTTGCCGTCCTGCTTTTCCTCAACAACTGTAGGTGTCCCCCTTGGCGTGTGGCTGGGGAGCGCGAGGGGCGGAAGGCGTGGGGAGGGGAGGAGCTGAAACCAGGGGAGGGGGAGGACGGTGTTTCGGCAATGGCTTGATCCCTTTGGAAAGGACGTTGGGGGCTCTTGGGGGGGTGTCGCTTGGCCTCTTTTCCCTGCTTTCTTCTGCGCTCGGGGTCGTCGCCCCTCTGCACGCTTCCCCGAGGGGTGGGACCTGGCCTAATCTGAACCGCCACCCCGGTGTTTTCCGTAATCCTGAGCCAGAGCTGCAGAACAGAAGTTCCATGAATAGGAGCAGAATCGAGCAGCTTGGAGTCAAGCGTCGCTTTGGGTAGAAGAAAGCAACCCGTGTCGCCAAGTAGAACTTTGCATGTTAATGGGGTGGAGGGAATGCCGTGGCCTTCCGGTCTGCTTCGGCTATGGGAGCCTGGATGCACTCCAAGATGGCTGATCTGGTGATACCCTCATCCCCAGATAACCAGGAAACGTGGCTTGGCCTCTGCTAGACAGGTCAACGTTTTCTTCTCTAGGAGAAGCCGAGCCACGTTTCCCAGTCCGCTTTCATCTCTCCAAGAGCAGAACTCTGCCGGTGTGTTTTAAATGAAAGCCCCCCCCACACACCCACACACCCTCCGCTCTCTTGAACCTGATGCTCGGCTCTAGGGCTGAGCATCCTGCCCTGGGTAGGCTGAGGAGGGACAATGCGGTTGCCAGCTTCTGCAAAAAACAAAAAAAAAACCCCAATCCCTCTGCTTTCGTAGTCTGCTTTCGAGATCAGGGCATTCGGTTGAGCCCTTTTGAGCAGGCTGGTCTAGCTGAATCTTTGGCCTAACCCACAGAAGTCTTCGCTAGAAACGAAGCCTCCATGTGTAGGGGTAGTATACCTTTTGGGGCGGGGGAGCCGAGCAGGAAAGAAGGGAAAAGGTTTTGTGCTGTGCTGATGGGGCTCCCGGTGGTGTCTGGGAGTGGCCACCTCAGGACGAAGGATGAGAGACGGCTTTTGTGCTGGGTTCTTCTTGGATCGAACTCGAGAAGGAGAAAATCTGTGGTTTTATGCATGCCTGGGTTAACGCCGTGGAAGCACTTCTGAGTTTTGCAGGACCCCATGTTGGGAGAAGGTCCTGCTTGAGGAAGAGTCCTGTGTAGCTCCAAGCTCAAGCACGGTTTTCCCCCCTCTTCAGTCCCACATAATTTCCCCAGTCTACTGAGTCCTGCATGCTCGCTGCTTAGTCCTTGCGAGGACTTGCAAACCCCATACGTGCGTAGCAACGGGTGGGCAGGGGAGCAAGTTTAAGGAGTTGGAGCCATAAAAAGGCATGGGCGAAAAGGGTGTTTTCTCAGTCACGCCTCCAAAAATAGTTTTTTTAGTAAGGAACCAAAATACCTCTGGGGTTGATGTTACTCAGAGGGCTTGTGAGTAACATGTAGTTCGGCCTCCCCTCCGAATTGTCCCATAGCGAAAGCCAAGAGCCTGCTTGACTGGCATCGGCACCTTCTGTTTCGAAAACCCTAATCCAGGACACGTTGGAATGGCATTGAAAAGGAAGAGGAAAAAGAGGGTCTCTCCTTTATTTATTTGACCGCTGCAAGATCTAGGAATGGGCCCGGGGCCCGGGGTGATGTTGCAGAGATCTTGTGAAGCTTTGAGGAGCGACACCAAGTCTGTCTTCTGTTTTTCTGGGCATCCCTGAAATGTTGTTTTTGGAGAGGGAAAGAGCAGTAGGACATGCTGGGAGTGTGACTGAAGTTGGAAGGATTCCTCTTATTCTTCCCATTTAGATCTGGCCTTGGATGCAAGAGATCAGTAGTGGGTGGGTGCAGCAAAGGAGAGAGGAGACACACCGTAACAAAGGTGTGGATACCTAATGGCTGTTGCTGGTTGCAACCACAGCAGATTTTGGAAGGGGCAACTGACTTTACATGGGGCAAGGGAGGACATTGTGTCCTCAGAAGCAAAGCCACGAATGTTCTGCCCTTCCTTAAGAGTTGGCTACCCAAATCATCTTCCCACGCCCCAGCCCCAGCCCCATTCTCGAATCCATCCCACGGATGGGCTGAATTTGTTGCTTAGGGCATGAATTCTGTCTACACGCAGTTGCCTGGCTGGCTCCTCACCCCAGTTTATGAGCTGAGGTAGAGGCTTGGTTTGGTGATAGCTTCGAACCCTTGCAAGAAAAAAGATAAAATCTCCCTTGAGCCAAACTAGACTCCTGGCGATTTCATGGATGTGTCCAATGGGGTCTTCTTGGCAACAATACAGAAGTGATTTGCTGCTACCTCCTGTTTGTTTTTTTCTTGACTTCCCAGTTTCGCTCACAGCCCTGTGGTCTTCCTGGTGGTCCCCCATCCAAGGACTCGCCAACATGGACTAGCTTTTTGAGATCATTTGAGGTTGGCCAGAGGAAACCTCTGTGTCTTCTCAGTGATAGAGAAGCAACTGGATTGTATTTTATATCATATTAGATAAATGGAAGAGGGAAAGACCCCTTTCATGATTGGAGCCCTGCACCTTTCTGTGCTAGTGTTTAATTTTGGGACTGTGTAACGAGCTGCACTTCCTGAAGGAGGGTGTTCCTTAAAAGAGCCCCCTTCCCAAGATAGTTTCCATTTCTGCAGTCCAGAGATCTGTTTTCCATGGGCTTCTCTTGCATGTCTGAGGCCGTGCTTCAAAGTCTTGCTTGCCTAGTTTTATTTATTTTTTTATTTCTTTCTTTATCTAAATGCATTAGCTGCCTAGCTCCAGTGGACGCTTTTGCACCTCTGTTGCTCTTTTACGTTGGTTTGCAACCTTTTTCGGGCACTCTGGTCGTTTGCTGAATGAAAGGAGTCTCCATCTGAACCTGGGTTCCCAATCAGCAAAAATGGGTTTGATGGATCAGTATCTTGGGAGGCCCTTGGGAGGCTAATAAATCGCTTGGTTTGCATCGCAGCTGGGGTCAGGAAGGAGCGTAATGAATTGACTTGGCCCCAGCAGCTGCGGCCAGGTCCCCACCTCCCCCTGTCTAGGAAAAGATGTATTTCCTGGAGGAACTACCAAACCTCTGTGGGTCTCCCTTGTCTTCTCATTCATGAGACTTCAGCATCAGAGAAGATTTGCTTTTCTGGCGCGTGAAGGATGATAGTCTGATTCTAGAGGAACATGTGCGTGTCTCTGTATGAATTGCTGTTCTTAGCATCCTTCCTTCTGGGAAGGCGTTAATTCCAGACAGCGTTGACAGAGGCCTTTGCCTGAGCAGGGAAGAGGGAATGAAATTCTCTTAATACAGCTGTATACCTGAGGATTAACTCAATTATGTCTGCTTCAAATTCATCCTAGGACTCTTTCTACCTCCCCAAAATAAACATTGTTTGGAAGCAGGCAAGACCAGAACAGCGACTCATCCAGGGAAGCCACAGGCAGCCTCACTTGGGGAAGGCTGCATTGGGCAGTTTTTCTGAGATCTTTAGAGGCCAATTGTATGAAGAATTTATGATCCTTAGCGCTCTGCGAGCAAGAGAAAAAGCATTTGGGGGCCAGAAATGTTTTCTCCTATTTATACCTCCAATTTTTTTCTTCTGTTTTGTAGATAAACCGGTGAATTACTTCCCGCAGGCAGTGCCCCAGGATGGTAAGTTGTAAAACATCCAGATCTAACCAACACTTGGCTTTTCTACGCTTGAAAGCTAGTCTTGCAGATTTTGAGAATGTCTAAGGGAAACTCCTTTCTAACTCCTGACCCAGGAATCTAGTCCATTGGCACCTCCATAGGCAGACATTTAATTTCAATTTAATTTTATAACCGCCGTTAGCCAGCAAACGAAAGAAGAGCAAGAAGAAAAAGATAAGTAGATCAACCACAAATAAACATATACAGCAATCCTTATTTTCTGCTGGGGACCCCCCACCAGAGTCTTGATGCTAAAATTACATAGAAGTTCATGGCTACAACTATTCTAATCCCTAATTCTGCCATCCAAAAGAGAAATTATTTCCACTAGTGGTAATCTTATAGGCGGCGTGCAAATGATCTCTGATTCAAATCAGTATAGAAAATGGACTCAGTTGGGCCAACTTGATCTGATTTATCAAAACAGGGAGGAAGAGCGTTGGGCAGGTCCTTAAGTTCTCCCAGATGGTGGGATCAGTTTGGAGACACCTGGCAGGATTTCATAAGGTGCTCCAAAACGATCCATCCGATTTGGAAAGTGAACCACGTCGTCTTCAGATTTCCAACCGGAGCTTTTTACACACTGGTAATCTCCTAATAACACAACTCACGCAAGGAAATGATGATGATTACGCTGTGTTGGAGATCGGCTCTCGGCAGGCCCTACCGACAAGCGGGTTGCGGAAACCCTTGGCAAAGACATCTAAGGGTTGCCTTCCCCGTCCTAAATATCGTTGTGCAGAGTACAGCAATGCTCCCAGAAAAACTTTGCCCAGGGAAAAATACACATCAGCACGAGAGGTTTGCAAACTGCAATGTCCCTATCTTGCTCTCCAAAGAAATCCAGCCAGAAAATATATACTAGCTGTTTGTTTATTGATAAAAATGCAAAACTTCATAAAATACAAGGTACATACAAAATATAGGGAAAAAAACCACTTCTTCTCATGTATTTTAGCATCCAAGACTTATTAACAACATAAGCTTAACAAATAAAACCTTAGCGGAAGGATTTTGCAGAGCTGGAATGGCATGTAAGCCTGGAATGTGGGTGGAGCCTAACCAAGTTTATTACCAGTTACTTTTAATGTTATCCCCTTAAACAGCTACATCGCCCAGTGCGATGAAGGGGTTGATGGAGATGCATAATCCCGAAAGAATCCTGCTCATTGCTGTTCAGGCAGCCCACATATGTAGAATATAGATTTCATTTAAATTCGCTGCCATCCCAAAGTAAACCCACCTGGTGTGCAGATAATGCACCTGCGGTTTGCATCCATACAGCTTTTCCTTCTATCATTGTGTGTGTGTGTGGCTCTAGACAGTTGCTTCCATATGCTCACTGAACTGGCAAGGCATTGTCAATGGGTTCCCCATGTTCCTCCCCCCTCGGATAAAGGTAATCAGTGTTGTTTCTTCAAGCCCCTCTCCAAATTGTATGTAGCTTTGCAGTGAAAAAATGTAAAAGACTTGGTATAAATGATTTTAAAAAGGCAGGCAGTGGTGACGAGGTAACCCAGCCCTGAGTGACTTCCAAGAGTGCAATTTTCTTGGGAATAATTCATATTCTCCTCTAGAAGGAATAATTCTCACTTCCTTCTAGGAAGCTTTTTGGCCTGGGCTTGGGGTCCCCTAGTGGTCTCCCATCCAAGCCCCAAGTAGAGACACAAAGTGGATTGCAATTATTTGGCAGAAATGAGGATAAACCTCGCAGTTTCACGCGTATGAAGGGAGCGCTCCCAAAAGTTCGGCGTGTGACAGATGACCTTCCAAAATCAAAAATAATGATCGTTTTGGAGATTCGACTTCTGTTGCCCTTTCAAATGGTTTGGTTTTTATCTATATTATCTTGCGGGGGGCATTTCACATACATTCTGAGCATACAAACTGTGTTTGCTGAGAGCTTAGATCTGAGATCTCAAGCAGGCTAGGTTTAGCAAAGCTTATCTTTATTCTCTGCATGAGTCTTGCTAAACCAAAAGCTTTCTTTTGAGCTGGCAATTGAGGTTTGAGAAAGCTTTAGAAATCTTCTAGGCTACCTATAGACTTTGTGTGGGGCAAAATGTTCTGCTTCTTGGGCCGCACTGACCTCCCCCAGTGGCAATAAAGGGGACATTTATTTAATTATACAAATTGCGTCTCTCACATCCATCACGACAGTGGCCTGCTGTGGAATGGAAAGAACAGAGTTAAATGGATAAAACAGCATTTTACAGTCAGGAGAGGGGAACTGACATATCTTTCTATGTCTCTTAATAAAGACTAAGGTCTAGAGATGGAAGGGAACTTGGGGGGTTATAGATGGATGCGTGGAAAATAGAGATGTTGCTGGCTTTCAAGAATCTGTTATTGCTTACTTAATATAACACAGGGTGTTGTTTTTTCCAGACAAGTAAAATAAATAAAAATGCTATTTGTTTTTCTTCTTCTCCTTCAAAACACACTCGCTGTCAAGCCAGTTTTAAGGAGCAGCAATTAATGATTTGCCAGTTCTTCTCTTCTTTGTCAGAGCAACAGAGTAACCGGAGATAAAAAAGTGATTAATCTATCATTGGACCGGGGCATCTGGTTTAAAAATATAAGTGAACGTAGGTGTTGCTTGCATCTTGGCGATGCTGTGAAATATTAATAAACCAAGCTTAGCTATATGACATGTTCCATTAAAAGAAGGCAGCTTAGCCAATGGATTGGGGGTATTGTCTTCCCAAAAAGCAGTTGCATGCAAGGGGTTCTGTTCCACCCATCTTGTGGCTTGATGTATAGCTTGGAGGTGGTTTAAAAAGGAATCTGATCTTAAATGTTGGTTGCGAGGCTGATGGGAGACCTATCTTCCCTTCCCATCGCCTCGTTTCTCTGGAAGTATGTTCTGGGAACAATGGCAAGCCGTCTGATTGCACATGGGAGCGCTGCAAAGAGGTCTGTGAATAAGGGCACATGAACATTTGCAGTTGGAAGGCTGGACCGAACAGCGAAGGAGAAAGGCGTGATTTCATCTGCTGTTTGCAATGGCAGAGACACGGCCTCTGCGTGGTTTTATTTCCCCCTTCCAACCCAAGCTGCATTTGTCCCTTCCCAGCCCCAGCCACAAACCACAAAATTCAGCTTGCTTAGTTTTACGCTTCATAAACAAAGATTCGTAGGGAGCTAGGTCAGGTTTGCAGGGTGGAAGCTCCAGGATGGGGTGCACGGAGCTTAAAAGAGCCCCCATGTCCGTGCAGCTTTTTTTTAAAACTTCCTGGATTCAGGAGCTTCACCTTGGAGTCACATTCTTTCATCCCTCCCCAAAATGTTTGCTTTGGCCTTTTTGTCTTCTCCAACTTGGCACGTGTTGGAGTAATTTGCCTCAGGTTAACATAGCGGTCCGGTGGGCGATGAGTAATTCCCCTCCCTACTCTTTTCATGTAAGCAAGGTCAACAAGGTACCACATTCCCACGAAAGACCTGGCGATGCTGCTTTTCCCAGAAATAAAGAGAAGTGGACTTTGGAGAACAAGCGGGTCCAGATATCTGGCGGGAGGAAACGGAGTCCTCCCTTTTTCGCCTTTTTCGGGGCAAGGGAAAGGTTGGACTCAGAACAGAAGGCTGGCTTCCTTGGATTGATGAACGTGCCGGGGGCTGAACGTTGACTTTATGCTGTGATTAATACATTTTGATTGAGTAAGCTCCCTTAAGAGAGTTTGGAAGACAGCCTGTTTTCAGATAAATAAGTGAAAATTATTTATGTTTTGATGCCGTCTTCAGTTGCGGAGGGATCCTGGGAAGCTTGAATTGAGTTGAATTAAGAGAGGAGAGACCCAGGGTGGAAGATGAATTCTCTTCTGAAAGATCCTAGATCTCAGACGGGTCCTCTCTTTGTGGTCTACCTTATAGGGTTGTGGTGGGCAGGGAGGGAACCTGCAAACCATCCTGTGGAGGGCAAAAGTATGTCATAAATGAATAAATCCCTGCCCCAGTGTCCCCCCCCCCCAAAAAACCCTGAGTATCCACAACCCCTTGACAAAAGCCTTTGTGGCGAGCTGTTTAGTCTTGAAAATGGTTCAAGAGAGCGTTCCTCGCTCTCTCGCACGCGTATACCCACACACTCTCCCATTTCCCCGGCAGCTCCTAAATGAGAAATGAGAGCTTCAGAAATATGGGTCACGAACACAGACCGAAACACACACACACACACACATATGCACGGAGCGGAGCCGGATTGCAGGTTTGCAAGTGGAGCAAATCTCCGGGGCCATCCGGAATGCCTTTTCTAATCAGGCCCGGGGGCTTTGGGTGGGCTCAGAGGAATGACAGGTTTCGAGCGGCTGAATGGGGGGGGGGGGGGAGCAGGAAAAAAAAGCCCCCCAGTGGG